TCTTTTCTCTCTGTCTCTGTCTCTCTCTGTGTCTCTGTCTCTGTCTCTGTCTCTGTCTCTCTCTCTCTCTCGTTGGTTGTGTGGCTTTGAACGCTGGGCTTAGGCGCTATCCCTGTGCTCTTCAGCTCAAGGCGAGTGCTCTACCGCTTGAGCCACAGCATCACTTCCAGTTTTCTAGTGGTTTATTGGAGATAAGAGTCTCATGGCTTTTCCTGCCCAGGCTGGCTTGAACCATGATCCTCAGATCTCAGCCTCCTGAGTAGCTAGGATTACAAGCGTGAGCCACTGGCACCTGGCTCACTTTCTCTCTTTCTCTCTCTCTTTCTCTCTTCCCCTTCTTTCCTTCCTTCCTCCCTCCCTTCCTTCCTCTCTCCCTTCCTTCCTTCCTTCCTTCCTTTCTTCCTTCCTTCCTTTCTTTCTTGGCCTGAGCACTGTCTCTGAGTTCTTTTGCTCAGGTTATCACTCTACCATTTGAGCCACAGTGGCACTTCTGGCTTTTTCTGAGAATCATTGGAGATAAGTTTCATGGACATTTTTGCCTAGGCCGGCTCAGGTCTCCTGAGTACCTAGGATTACAAGGGTGAGCCACTAGCACCTGGCTGGAACTTACTTTCTGATCCAACAAGTCTATTTTTATGGTAAATGCACAAAGCTGTTTATGCTAGCAGTATATGTAATGCTAAAATACCAGAAATAATCCAAAAATTATACACATGGGTGTCAATAAGTATCATACACATATATAATCCATATAATAGAGTGCTATGTAGGTATAAAATTTAAAATGAGAAGAATATCTACATACCCTGCTGTAGAACAATTGTAGAATCTATTGTTAGGATAAAAAATTGAAGAGAAGAAAAGTATGTAATGCTGTTCTTCATGTAGAAAACAGAGGTGCTAAATGTGTGTATTATATATACATGTGGATTATGCATAATGACTCATACATATAATGACTACATGTGTTTATATGAGGATACATGTGTGGATATGTATTCATATCACTATGAATGTGTAAATTGTAAAAAAATGGGTAAATAAATCTAAATGAAAGTTATAGGGAGAGGAAGTAAGTAAAGTATCATGACAGAGTCAATACTTCTCACTTCACTTTCTTTGTTTCTTTCCTTTTCCTGGTTTCATGTTTAAACTCAGGGCCTCATCTTTTCTATCAGTTTGCTTGTTCACAGCTGGCCCTCCACCACTTGAACCACATCTTCAGCCCTGCTTTTTGCTGATAAATTGGAGGTGTAGCCTTGTGGATTTTTCTTTCTGGCTTGCCTTAGAAACTGTGCTCTTCAGATGTCAGCTTCTGAGTAGCTAGGATGACAGGTGTGAGCTGTCTACATCTGCCTTTCTTTTGTAAATTTGACTTTGAAACTATTTAAATGTTTATATTTCTACAAAAAAATTAAATCCCCTAAAAGGAAGGAGTAAATAAGAAGGAAGAAAGAAGATTTTATCTCTAAAAAAATAATAAAAGGCAAAGAAGCCAGGCATTGTTGGTTTATACCTACAATCCAAGAGATCTGAGAATCATGGTCTGAAGTCAGCCTGGGCAGGAAAGTCCATTTATTTCCAGTTAACCACCAAAACTCCAGAGCTGTGACTCTAGTGTTAAAGGCAAAAAAAAAAAGTCAGAGATGGGGGAACAGACAACAACTCTTGGTGAAAAGTTTGAAATTTAGTCTAAGAGCAACAAAAAGTCATTATATAGGCTGAGGAAATTGAGTTATATAGTCCTGGGAAGGCTTAAAAAGTCAATAGATATTGAAGGAGGTAGTCTTTTGGGGATGAGGATGGAGCTGGGAATGGCAAACAAGGCAGGGAGGGGTGAAGCAACTATAAAACTATCTCCATCAGTTTTGTGTAGCTATAACCAAACACCAGAAGCTAAGGGATTTTTAAAAATCAGGGATGTAACTCATGGTTCTGAAGATCCAGGGAATGAACTGGACATCTGCTCAGCTCTGGTCAGACCTCATGGCAATGGAGGGGGTGCATGTAACAGGGGCTCACATCTGAGACAGAAGGCGAAGAAGATTTAGGGGATATGCCAATTTCACTCTTTTTGTAAAAACCAACTTGCTGTCATGGGAACTAGGCTACTACCAGACCCAATGAAGGTGGTATTAATCCATTCATGATGTGGAGTCCCATGACCTAATTACTGTCACTAGGCTCCATCTCCCCTGCTCCCTCCCTCCCCTACCCCCGCGCCTCCCCCCCTTAAAGGGTCCACTGCTTCAACACTGCTATGACACTGGGACTTGTGCTTCCAACATATAAACTTTGAGGATCACAGCATCGTCCACAAAGAGTATACCAGGAGCCAATCTGTGCCCTCCTTCCTTTGCCAGGTGGACTCCTTTGCTGACATCCATTCTTAACCTGTAAACTCCCACACGTTGAAGATTGACTGATCACCCAATCTGCTCAACCAGGCTCTCATATCAATCTGCCTACTTGGTATCTCCACTGCTTTTCTGTTTCATTTTTAAGAGTAGGAAGGATTTATTTGGCAAAGCAGAGCAAAACAAGGAGAAGAGCAAAACAAGGGAAACTAGAAAGGGAGAAATGAGTACCCCTTCACATGCAAGAAGTGGGAGCAAGGGCTCTGATATAGCTGAACACTGAATAGCTGCTACTGAATTAGTATTATTTTAATGTCTTTCTGTTAAGAAAATGGAGGAGAATGGAAAAGGAATAGGCTGGATCTGATCAACAGTGAGGACTGTTTAGAAAAGACTGTTTATTGAGGAACAGCGAGGGGTACAGACCTTCCTGTGGGTGTGGAGGTTGGGCCAGAGAGTTGGACAGGAGCTGGGTTTTTATAGGAGGTCCAAGCAAGGAGGCAGAGATTAATGAAAAAGCCACTAGGTCAAGGAAGGTGGGGGCCTTTCAGTTGGGCCCACAATGGGATGTTTACAGCTGGGTTTAGGTGATTGCCCTGCCTGTACTTCAAACAAGTTCACATAGACCTGGGTGGGTATGGGACAGTAGGTGGGGGTCAACCCTTCACTTTCCAGGACAAAACTCTGAAATATTTCAATGTTAAAGTGAATGTTCTTTGTGAGTCATCCACAGTTAGGCTTATATGAGTTTCGTTCATTATATTTAATTTTATATTTGGATTATTTTTCTCTAATAGTGAAAAATCTTTTTTCCTAAAATGGTATTTGCTGTTACAACTGCAGTGTGTATATAGTCATTTCTCTAGCTTTTATTTTATTTTTGTGTGGATACTGGGCCTTGAACTCAGGGCCTGGGCACTGTCCCTTTTTTACTCAAGGCTTTTTGTTGCTCTTTGACTAAATTTCAAACTTTCCACCAAGAATTGTCTGTTCCTCCCATCTCTGGCCTTCTTTTCTCTCCCTTGCTGTCTACAATTAAGTCCCTCTATTATTGTTGTAAGGTGAGAAAACGGAGAAGCCATATTTTGAGAGGTCAAATCTTGGAGTCTTTATTAAAAGGCTGGCAACTGCATGGTGGACTCCTGTCTCAAAGACCAGAAGCCAGCAAATACACTTAACATTGTCAGGAAACTGAGCCATGAAGGCCCAGAGAGGAAAGAAAGAACAAAAACAATACCAACAAACAAATTCAGCTGCAATGGAGAGTTGAAGTGGGATGCCATGGTGACTGGAGAAGAGCCAGGAGGTAGGAGACAGGACAAGACATGGAGACACATGGCATGGCATAATGGTACCTGAGCTGGTCTGTGCCTAAATAGGGTCAGGTCAGGGGGCCGGGTCACAGGAAACTCCCAGTCAGAGGCACTGGACTGACAGTTTTAGTAACTTATTATCCAAATCCCCACCCCTGCCTCCAGGGATCCAAGCATGCCCATTACCTGGGAGACAAGGGCTTCACCTGCCCCTACCATGAAACAAGATGCCAGACCCTACCATCCACCATTTGGTCAAGATGGTTCCAGCCAGACCTGAACTCCCTATTTCACTATACTGTCCCATTTGTTCCTCAAACACATCAGTCTGGAGGTGGCCCCCCCCTCATCTTTGTGGGCTGTCTCCTTATTGATCAAATTTCAACCCAAAGGCCATCTCATCATGGAACTCCTTCCAGAAATTCTCTAAGCATCTGCTAAGGAGTTGCTCTAATATGTTCCCCCTGTGCTTACTTCTGTCATTATCATCATATTTTAAACTTTTTTGTTAGTCTCCCATAGTAGAATCTAAGCTCTGAGATAGAGATTCTGCTTCTTTAATATTGTATCCCTAGGATTTTGAACAGTGGCTGCCACCTGGTCAATAAACGTTTGTTGAATGAATGAATGACTGATTTGGATTTAGAATTCTTTTAGTTTCTATATTAGTCAACTCTCCATTTCTATAACAAAATGCCTGAGGTGGACTAACTTTATGAAGAAAAGAGACTTATTTGAGCCACAGTTTTTGAGGCTGAAAGTCCAGCAAGTATGGTACAGGCTTTGAAGAGGGCCCCTTATGAAGGAGTGTGGTGTTGGGAGAACTGGTGGGAAGCAGGGATTACATTTCAAAACAGGAAGTCAGGGTCTGGGTCAGGCAATAGCCCTTGAAAAGAACCCTCTCCAGGTGCACTCCCCATCCCCCTGACCTCAGGACCTCCCACTTGGGCTGCCTTTTTAAGGTTCCATCCCCTTCAATGAGAGACTAGACCATTGCAATCTCTAAATCTAGAAAAAAGACCCCTGGGCTGCCATTTTTTTTCTGCCTAGACTTTCTTTTGTTCTATGCATGCCCACTTGCTATTTCTTTACCAGCCCCTTTATAGTAACAAAATCCTAGCAGTGCTATAAAGATATTAGAAAGAATACTTTATTCAAAAGCCTGTGAATCAGAGGGTTGTTTAAAGAAGTTACTGTAATCTACATGCCCTGAAGTCAATGGAATGCACCCAGTGCCGCCCAGAGGAGATTTGGCAGGCCCCCAGGCAGCTCTGGCCTAGGAGACACCCGAGGGACCCGCCAGGTCTTCAGCAACATCAGTTGTGTAGACATGGAGGAGGCTCTGGGACAGTTCTTCATTTTTGTAGGGCTGCTGGTGTGCCTGATTTGCCTGGTCAAGTGCATGAAATTCTCCCGATGCATTTTCCTGAGCTTCTGGAAAGTACGGTCAAGGTCATTCTTGAAGTCAATGGGCCAGTGGGCAGGTAAGGGGAGTTTTTCATCTCTTGTTAAATGTGTGCTATTGCTGAGTCTTACTGATGTCTCAAAGATATGCCGTGTCTTTTCTCTTTGAGAGCAAAGATGCAATTCCTTTTGGAACTTAATATTATTAAATGTGTGGGATTTAAACAGTATGAGTGAGATTAGGATTGTCTGAACAATAAGATGTCATGGGCACGCTAGAATCATGAGGAAAGTATGCTCCCCAACTCTTACCTGTGTGACTGTCTGCTCAGCTTCACCTGCTGGATTAACTTCTTTTTGATTTCTGCAGCCTTATCTCCAGATTTCTTTTTTTTTTTAATTGTGAAAATACTATACAGAGGGGTTACAATTACATGGACAAGATAATGAGTACATGATGCTTTCATTCAGCTAAAAGTTGTTTCCAAAGTTGTGAAATCTGAATGTTGTCATGTTATTTTTATTATATATTTTTGTTACTTTCTTAGTGCCCTGGAAAAGTGAGTGTGTTGCAAAATCAAGGCAACAAAAATCTCTCTGGAGCCACATTTTCTAGGTAGTTAGATATGGGAGTTAGATATGGGAGCCTCAGGCTCTAGTGTGTGGGAAGAAGCATCCTGCAGAATTTCAGTTTCTCATTGGGGTGAAGGTAAAGGTTTTAGCAATTCCTTGGAGGAAATGCTAGGGTCTTTTAAAGTTTCTTTCCAAAGTTGGACACTAAAAATAAATATATAAAAAATAAGTATTTATTGGCTTAAGCAAAATAAAAGAATTTAAGTAATTTTAGATATATCAACCAGGGTTAAACAGCCAGGATTGTTAACAAATTTATGGAGCTACCAAATAAAACATAGAATACTCAGTTAAGTTGGTATTTCAGACAAAATAGAAATACATTTTTTACTATGTTACAACCTAAATATTGCATGGGTTTTACTTACTAAACAATTGTTTGCTAGTTACTGGAAATTCATACTAGCTGGGCATTCTGGGTCCTTATTTGCCAAACTGTGCAAACTTAAACACTTCACAGTAGAAATTATTAATAAAAAAACATACCATCTGGGAAAGAAATTGTTTAGAATAGCATATGGATTTATAATCAACACTTCTTATATTGTGTGTGTGTCTGTGTCTGTGTATGTATGTGTGTATAATGTGCTCTCTCAAGTGAGCTTGCTGAGTTGCTTGGAGTTTGAATACTTTGGATTCAAATACTCTGTTCCTCACCCATTCAAACAACTATGAGCTAAGGAGACCTAGATCTTTGCCTAGTTTCTGCCTGCTAAAATACAGGGAATAGACCCTCTAAGAACACACATTCCAAAAGAAAGTTCACATGAAACTTAGAATATTTATGCTTTGAATCCAAATTAAACATACCTATTGTTAGAAGAGGGCACAGGAAGACATTAGACAAATATATTTCCAACTGGGGATGAGAAGAAACTCCAGATAGTAGAGTTATTGAGAGCCTTAAATTTCTCCGGATAGAGCACTCTAAGCTCTGTGCTTGCTTTATAAGTTATTTCACTGGCATAACTTTCTAGAGTTGAGGATCCAAAGTCTGACAGTTTAGGCTTGAATATTGATTTTATCATTTTTAGCACTGAGACCTTGATCAAGAACGTTCTCTCCCTGGGCTTCTCCTCTTGAACACACAGAAGTTAGGGATGGTACCTGCACCATATGAACATAAACCAAGTGATGTCACTTGGAAGAGTGGAAAGTAAGCATTTGATAGTTACCAGTGTGTGCTGGTACATGAGTATCTTGGCTGTATTCCTAGGCTGGGTGCTTTTGAAGGTGCTTCCCTGTGTAGAAGGTAAGAAGGTAAGTCTGTTGAACTTAGCAGGAGCAGGGGCATGCATGCGTCCACTCAGGAGCTCCTAGGAACAGATAAAATCATAGCAAAATTGTTCAAATTAGGGCACTTCTGCCATACCCTCCTTTGATGCTTGTATGTTGTGGCCTCCACCTACTCTCAAGTAAATGGAGTGTATCTTTTGTTCCCATTATTCATTTTAAAGCATGCCCTTTAACTTGTGGGAGCTAAGGGAAGCTGCAGGAATATACTACCAAATTATGATATTTGAATTCATGACGTTCATTCAAACAAGGTCTTGCCTAGAGCCCCATCACTAAACAAGTGACAGTAGAGTTATTAGATTGTGTGTACTGTCTAGACTGTATCTAGTACAAATTTCAGCTTCCTTTAGGTTGCTGTATTCCCTTTGTTCCTATTGTATTTTGGTCTTGGTTCTCCTGTCCCACAAGTCTTGGAAGGCTGCTTTTCTGCTGAGTGGGTGTAGAAGGAGGCTGAAATTGATTTCAGAGGGAGCCTTGAAATGTTCTTGGAGCAACCATTGAGCATGAGGGTAGAGAGATAGCAGGGTACAGAGCTTGCCCTTGAGGAGTTAAGGCTTGTACTGTCTAAATCTTTAGGAGCCTGGATAAAATGTTTCTTGGCTTAGTTCTTCGTTGAATTTCAAAGTGTTTTCCACAGTCTTACCAATTGAGGATAGATTGAGGGATAACATTGATCAACTATACTTATGAATTGTCATGTGGGATTAAGATCCCTTTATATAAGTACTTTAAAAACATAATTTTTAAAAAGCTCACCTCAGCCCAGCACCAGTGGCTCACACCTGTAATCCTAGCTACTCAGGAGGCAGAGATCTGAGGATCATGGTTCAAAGCCAGCTTCGGCAGGAAAGTCTGTGTGAGACTCTTATCTCCAATGAACCACTAGAAAACTGGAAGTGGCACTGTAGCTCAAGTGGTAGAGCACTAGCCTTGAACTGAAGAGCTGAGGGACAGCACCCAGGCTCAGAGTTCAAGCTCATGACCACCACCAACAACAACAACAGCCCTCCTCAAAGCAAAACATAAAATCCTTCTAGGTACCAGTGACTCACAACTGTAATCCTAGCTACTAAAGAGGCTGAGATCTAAGAATTTTGGTTCAAAGCCATTCAGGACAGGCATTAGACACTCATATGTCTACCAAAATGCTGGAAGTAGAGGTGTGGCCCAAATGATAGAAAGGCAATCTTGAGTGAAAAAGCTAAGCAAAAGTGCCAGGCTCTGAGTTAAAGCCCCAGTATTGGCACAAACAGAAAATCTCATAAAGACTTTAATTTTGAATGTTCAGAGAAAGGTCATCAAGGGCTAAGAAGTCTCAAGTAAAGCAATGTCATTTAGATAGTTTGTTTATGAGGAAATGTAGACACCAATGAAGAGTTTAGAGCTGTGTCTTATTGATTACAACCCATCCTCTCTCTACAGTGATCACTGGAGCAGGTGATGGCATTGGGAAAGCATATTCATTTGAGGTAAGTCAGTCTTCAATTCTTTTTGCTTAGGCTGACCTCAAGAGATCTTCCTGACCCAACTTCTTGAATAGCTGGGATTACAAATGTGCACCACCACATCTAGCTCCAAAGTTATCTTGGAGATGTTGTTATTTTTTTGGTATTGAACACAACTCAGACATGACACCCCAAACACTACATTTCTGAACATACAAGCCAGACATACTCATTCAAGAAGAAAAATGTCTTTTAGAGCAAAGCAGACTAAAACATTTGTAATCTTTTCCTCTCCCTTCTTTCCTTCCCCCCTTCTCTTTCTATTAGTCTTGGAGCTTGAATTTAAGGCCTAGGTGCTGATCCTAAACATTTTTTTAAAATCAAAGCTGGTACTCTACCACTTGAATCTGGTTTTTTAAATCATTATCTCTTTGGTTGTTTCTTTTTGGGTTGGTTGTGGGGTTTGAACTCAGAGCCTGGGCACTGTCCCTGCTCTTTAGCTCAAGGCTAATGCTCTGCCACTTTGAGCCACAGCACAACTTCACTTGAACCTTTTATTTATTTATTTATTTTTAAATTTCCAGCTGCCATAAGCTGAGCAGCTTCCTCAGCCATGCTTCCTCAACAGGATAAATTCTGTCACTACAGACCCAAACCCATCCACCCAAAGCAAACCTTTCCCTTTATTAAGTTGTTTCTCTCAGGCATATTGTCACAGTGACACAAAGCTGACTCACATACTATATATCACTTTTTTATGTAATGATTTCACAGATTAGATGAGGTTTTTAGAAAGTCTTAACAGTTCCACCAAAGGTCTAGGTCTATGTTTAGTTGTCTGGATTGCTGAACAATTCTAATTTTTCAATTTCTTTCTCATTTTCTAGAGTCTTTTTTTTTTTAGAGCGCTCTACCACTTGAGCCACAATGCCACTTCCGGTTTTCTAGTGGTTTATTGGAGATAAGAGTCTCACGGACATTCCTGCCCTGGCTGACTTCAAACTGTGATCCTCAGATCTCAGCCTCCTGAGAAGTTAGGATTATAGGCGTGAGCCACTGGCACCCAGCTTCCTTCCCTTCCCTTCCCTTCCTGTCCCTTCCCTTCCCTTCCCTTTCCCTTCCTTTTCCCTTCCTTCTTTCCTTCCTTCCTTCCTTCCTTCCTTCCTTCCTTCCTTCCTTCCTTCCTTCCTTCCTTCCTTCCTTCCTTCCTTCCTTCCTTTTCCTTTTTTATAGTTGCCAATTAGTTCTGATATGTTTTGGAACAGATTTCTTTAGCTTTATCCTGTTTTTCACTCAGACTCTTGAATTTGTAGATTTGCCTTGTTACACATTTGGAAAGTTTTTCTCCATTGCTTTTTTAAAATATAACATTATTTTATTTTTCATGGACTCAAAATATCTTCCTACCTCAGCCTTTTGAGTCTACAGGCATATACCACCATGCCTTGTTGGAATGACGGTATTTTCTTGTTGTTGTTTTAGACAGCATCTTGCTGTCTAGGCTAACTTTGAATTCGTGATCCTCCTGCCTCTGATTCTGAAGTGTTGAGATTACAGGCAGCTGTCATCATATCCAGCTTCTGTCATGTATCTGCTCTCTTTTCTCTTCTTTGTCCCTCAATTACAGGAATGTTAGACTTTTTTTTAATGACTTCTGAGATTCTGTTTATGTTTCTGGTGATTTTTTTCTCTGCTGCTTAGATTGGGTAGTTTCTGTTGTTTTTCAAGTTCATGGAATTTCTTTTGTCCCTTCAATTCTAGTATTGAGCCTATCCATTCAGTTTCCAATTATAGTTATTCTATGATTCAGTTAAAAATTTTCCCAAAACCTCCTGTGTTCTTCATGTATTCATAATGGCTTGTTGAAGCAGTTTTATACTTTAAAATCTTGTCGGGCACTCCTAAAATCTGTATCATCACAATCTTGCCATGAAATGATTATGTTCCCCCATTTAAAGCATGGTTTACCTGGTTCCCTGCATGATTGGGTCATTGTTGAATATTTCTGGGTTCATGTTAGGGCCTCTGAGCTCTTACTAGTCTGTTTGTATTTGTCACTACTGGCATTGCTTCTGTAGTATTGGCATTCTTCTACTTGTTGGTGGAGGTAAGAGTTCTCTACTCAGCCTCCATTAAGTGAATCCTACATGCTAGGTGTGTCTAGGGAGGGATTGTGGGGGTCCTGGGTCCTAGGAGGCCTCTATTGGTTCCGGATACTGGCTCAAGAAGAAGCAGGATGCCTTCTTTGCTAGTCCCCATAAAACTAAACTTGTGACTGTTAGGTGGTAGTAAAAGTCCTGGGTCTCTATGAGGTATCCTCTGTTACCATCCCAGGAGAAGGGAAAGGAGAAAGGACAGAGGGGGGCTTTGCAACTACTGAGTTTACGGCATTTCCTAGTCCATTCTTCATTGCCCAAACATAATACTAACCTCTTTTGGAAATGTAAAGTCCAAGATTAGTTTTCCTTTTGGCTTCATAGTGGAGAATAAAAGCCTAATAGTGGAGGATATCAGAATGGTGAGGCACCTGAAAGAGTGCTCCCATGGTGACACAGGAAACCAGAGGGCAGAGGGGGATTAGAGGAGCCATGGCTATTCCTTTTATAACAGCTCATTCTCTTTGTAGAAAATGACTCACAAAACTACCTCAATTTTTCCCAATAGAATCCCCCCAATAACCTAAAGACCTTTCTCTAGGCCCCACCTCTTAGGAACCACTACTTACCACTACCATTACACTGAGGACCAGCCTTCCAGCACATGAAGTTTTGTGGGACAAATCACGTCAACTGTAATAGGGTGTAATAGTCTTCACTGACTTTAGAAGGTGGCAATGACAATAGAACCTTGAGTTTTTGGAGAAAGAGTTTTATTACATGCCAGTTACAGGAAGCAGCACCTATTTAGATTTTCAGCCATCTTAGAAAGTACAAACATTTGACTTAGGTTAAATAGGGAAGATTGGTTGGCAGCTATGCCTACTGATTAAATGTGCCCAGTCAGTGGTGTGGCCTGGTTGGCTTTTAGTTCTGTTTTTTGTCTCACAATGATTTAAAAAAAATCACAAGCCATTTGAAGGGACCAGAAAGTCTACTGCCTTGTGGGTAATCTTTTGAGTGTTTGGTTGCTCTTTCTTTTGAGAAGTTTTACCTGTTCCACAGGTAAAAAGGTATTTCCTATCTGAGGGGCAGTTGGCCTTCTGCCACAGATGCTTATAGGCAAATCCAGAGACAGCATTCACCTCAGAACAAAGGACACAGATGCAAAGTGAGTGATCTGGTTGCCCAGTTTTTATCTTGCTTTTAGTTAATTCATAAGCCTAACAAAAACAGCATTTAAGTTGTTTCTTATAGTGACATGCTAACAGTCCCAGATTCCTCCTTCACCTTCCCAAGTCCCAATCAGAAATGTGGGTAGGAGATACCTCATTATATCAGCCAGCATGAAAGTCTTCTTTTCTTGCTTAGTCTTTGCTGAAGCAGTAGAAAAGGGACATTTTTTCCCCTTAAGGCATTTGCTTAGAATATAGCAGTTAGTGTAAATATTTTCTGATGCTAAGCTTCCCCTGGCCTGGTCCTTTAGTTAGGAGAAAGCTTTTCCTTGGAATTTTCTGTATCTTCCCCTGGTGGCATTTCTGATTTGCTAGCTACTCCAGTTTAAATAAACCTGAAATATAGGAAACAAAAGGAAAGCCCCGGAAATCACCACTGTGCTGTTCCTCAGGTGCAGCCCCCCAACCATCTTAATATCTACTTTTTTAAAAACATGCTCTTAATTGTGGGACTAGAGAGAGGTACTAACACTCTATCCATGTGGAGACCTATTCTATATTGCATTTTAACCTATTCTATATTTATGCTTTAAGTGGCAAGAGAGGCTCTGCCCTCTGTTAAAGGAATTTCAAGAGGGAGATGGGAAAAGGTTGTGCAAAAGAATGGGCCTGGGAGAGGAAGGGCCAGGGTGCCCTCCTGCCCTGCTCACATAACCTAAGACAACCATTTCTACTCCCTCAGCACCTGAATTCAAGCTTTTTCTTTTATTCTCTGCCACACAGAGGAAGCCCTGTCTTTCCTTGCTTTCCCACCGTCCAGTGTAGATTAGCAGCTCCAAGCACCTTCCCCTGACCCAGGCCCCACATCAAGTCAAAGGAAAACAAGGCCCATTCACCAGAGTGGCGGCCATTCTGCCCCAATGTGGCCGCGTTGCGTTCTGGGAAAGTCTGTGGGCTTCAGCTTAATGCTCTGAAAGGGGCGAGACCGTGTATGGGGCCTGTCAGCCTGAACCTTCTGGACATGAGATTGAGTCCTGCTCAAGCAAACAAAAGGAACAATGAGAGCCAGACAATCAACTGGTCTCCCTGCCCCCTCCAGGTCCAGACCACTTCACTGGGAACCTTTAAATGCTCGGGGCTCTTGAGACAAATGGCACAATTAAGGAGAGGCTTGAAGCCCACCAGGCAGAGAGCATCCTTTGTGCTGAAAATGCAAATTGTTTTCTATTTAATGGACGATCTCCCCTTTAGGAGGCTGGGGAAGTGGATTGTGAGAGACAAAGGTGCTTAATTCTTTAGCCATCCTTTTGATGGATTCCAGGACTCAAAGTTGGAAGGGGAGGGGTGTGAATTTTCCTGAGAGAGAGAGACAGAGACTGAGAGATGTAGAGAGAGGGAGAGGGAGAGGGACAGACAGACTTGGGGATGCTACCAGTGAAGGAGAGGGGGGCTTGATATGGGACCGCTATTGATTTAAGATTTTTAAATTATTATTTTACTTTTTAAAAGACGTTATCAAGTTGTGTGGTGATAGCTCATTGTGCCTTTAATTTGTATTTCCTGAATGGTTAATGATGTTTATGTATATATTTTTTAATTCAAAGATGTATAAAAAGGGCTGGGAAGGTGGCTCAGTGGTAGAGCACTTGCCTTGCATCCATGAGACCCTGGGTTCTATTCCTCAGCACCACATAAGCAAAAAGAAAAAAGCTAGAAGTGGTGCTGTGGCTCAAGTGGTAGAGTGCTAGCCTTG